TGTTGTTGCCTGTGGTGCTGTTGGAGATGGTGGTATTCTTGTGGTTGTTGATAGTGTCATTGTCATTTTAAGTGTTGTTGGGGGAGGAAGCACCAGTATTCACTGGCATGAGGCGGAGCAGTGAAGAAGTGGCAGCAGGGGACATGGATGACATGGGAGAGATCGAGTCGGGAACTTGCAGTAGCTTTGAAACGGCAGATGAGCTCACAGTAGGCACCCCGAAAGTCTGTTTGCATCAGAGTTTCGACCGAGGTGGAAGTCATCGTTGCGGATGTTGATGTCGCAGTGGTGGAGGTCGTAGTTTCAGAGGTGCTGCTCGATGCCTTGCTTGGACCGGATCCCGCAATTGTGGGACACCCGCAGGCTTCTTCGACTGAAAACGTACCAACTAAGCAAATCCAAGGATCAGAAAGAAACTTAAAAATATGCATAAAAATAAACAAATCGTGTGTTCTGAGCCAGCCTCTTCGGGAATTTACCATTGCAAGGGCATTGACCATTGGCAATGTCGTGCTGGGGGCAAGCTACGACTTTACCCCATTAGAGAATGACAGTTTTATTCGAAAACTAGCCTTCACAGGGTTTCGTTCTGCGTGGAGCCAGTCGGGGATTGCAAGTTGCTTCCACTCAGAACTAGATCTTGTAAATCCCCGTTCCACAATACCGCTCCTTAAAACAGGTCGTAGCAAAATGCAACGCCCGAATGGCTTCACGCAGAACGAAAGCCTGTGAATGCTAGTCTTGGCGTAGCTTGCCTCAGGGAGGACATTGCAAATTGTCATTCCCTAGTGGCTTGCCGCCGAACAAAACCACAAGACCCTGCAAATCCCAGTCCCCACTCAACTTGCATCAAAACCTCATTTACGATACTTTGCGGGGGTGCGACTGCGTAAGCGTAGAGGGTTTAAAGCTGCAGCCGGAGCGGCCGAAGTGGAACTGGTGCTGGAGGAGACCTTAGCGACGGCCACCGCATCTTTGCTCATACATGCAAGCCTAAAGAGGCAAGCGCTAGCTGTAGGTGCCAGTGCGAATCACAACATCACAGGAAAAGCTATCGGGACCATACAGACCAGCGACGCTTGATGTGCTCGTCCTGGTGGCGCTAGACGATGTACTTGCAGATGTCGACGACGTGCTCGTGATCGTGCCCGTCGACGTCGACTTAGCAGCTTGCACATGCATCACCGCACAGCCGGAT